TTTCGGGTGACCTATCATAAAAAAATAATAAGTATTTGTGTCATTAATGCATAGGTGTCAAAATAAGGATAGATAAAGCATCTTTGTAAAAAGTACAGTTACAGATTATAACCTTACAGACTAACACCTTGCTATATTATGGGCACAGGCTTCCTCACTCCTGAGAAGGTTATGGAGCAATAACTCCGCCGCACTGCTCCAGTGCGTGATGGAAAACTTCACCGCTCAGCATGTTGTTAATCAGCATTTAAAATTGCAATTAACTAATTTATTAATGTCGGTTCGAACTTAGGTTGCTCGCTCACAATAATAATATGTCTCTGTAATTTTGTGAAGAATAACATTGTTAATGTTATTTTGCAGATCTTTACAACTCAAAGTAAATTAAAAAATTACACATTAATCTACAATTTTAGTAGGTAGTTTACAAAAATGTGAATGTGACATGATGTAAGAATGATGGTATAATTTAAAAACTTAGATAATATTTACCTAAAATATCAACCTGAGGTAGCCAATTGGATATATAAACTTTAGTTTCGTCGACAAGCAAAGTTTTATTTTCCAACTTCCAAATAAACCTTTGAGGTAATTCCCTCATAGCACCCAGTATCGCCTCAAGTTTGTCACTGGACAATGATGAACTTTTGATAACAGATCCAAAACTTACGTATATAATACCGTTCTCTGCTTCCTCAATAAACTTTTTCAGATCCTGCCGATAGATACTTTTTCGATAAATTTCAGTTATGTAAAAATACAGATCATGTTCATACTTTGCTTCATAATGCTTCTAATTTAATTAAATAATTTTTTTTTCAATTTATCATTTTAAACTCGTTAGGCCTCTCCCAAGTCTGATAATTGCATTTTTAGAAGAATGTATGTGTGTATGTTCGTATACCAGTGAAAATGTTTCATTTTGCATATCTCGTAAATCAATATAAAAAAAATTACATTAGATAATTAAATGAAATAGTATCCATTTAGCAAGATTCATCAGTTTTACATGCAAATAGTCACCAAACAGGCAAGAAGTCAGCAGCAGAAAATAGCTTTACTTATATTACTCTATGGATATCAAATAAGAGGCGTGATAGTAAGTGGACGATGTAGTCAGTAGATATCTATATCCACCCTCGATTAAGAATCAAAATATAGATCCTATATAATGTCACCTGTGGTTATATATTGTCACATCTTAAGATTAAGATAGAATGCATCGAATTAGGGAAATTAAGTAGTTATAATCAATAAAAACTGGCCAAGTATGTGTCGGGCCACAAACAATATAAAGATAGGGTTCCATAGTTGCACATCACAATATGTGAACTTAGAAGGGGCTTTCTTGATAATGAGTATAAAGAGTTTGCGGTTTGACCACTATAATGACTAAAAATGGGCCCAAATAGGATGATGGTAACTGAAGGACATATTTTTCAATCAGACCTATAGGGAGTGGTATTCAAAAAAAAATGAAAAACTTTTCAATGTTGCAAATAACACAATCTACATCACACATGCCAAATCCATTTAAAGATGGTCATAGTTAAATATCTATCTATATATTCCCAGCAGCGCAACCTTAAGATATATGTATATGACCATAATGCACCTTCATGTAAACCACCACTGCCCTAAACTATCCTGAGGGTCGCCCAAATAAACTAAGAGTGTGACAAATGAAACTGTATGATTGTATGATTACTTTGAATGAGGCCTACAATAACTACCAACTAAAAAAATAAGCAAAAGTATTAAGTAAGCAGGAAAGGTCCTTCTTGCCTATCCCACAAGGGAAAAAGTAAAGCTATAGTAGTAATGCATATAAGTCATTTTCTTCATAAAATATTTATTTCGTACAATTAACAATAATATTACAAAGTTATAATGCAGCTAGTCTCAATTCATTTTATATAGAGTTGTAACAACATTTTTACTAATCCAAATGTATTTTTAAGTTGGTTAACTCTTACTCATTAACTTGTTAATACTACTTAGTTCCGATACTTTTCCTTTTAACTTCATTATATATACTACTATTGTGTAAAATTTTCACATTTCCAAAAACAACAGTTGCTATCAACTAAACCATTGTTTTTGGAAATGTGAAAATTTTACACATGTGTCCTCCCCTCTCTATAGAGGGGAGGACATATGACTCTAATGAAAGATACCACTTTAAAGCTAAATATTTCGCAAACGGACCCCTGATTAGAAAAAATGTTGTTCCACACCCCCAATGTTTGTGTATGTTTTTGAAAGACCTATCTAACAATACCCCACATGATGGAATAGACGGGTAAAAAATCTTCCTCCATTTACCTGTATGGTAGGTACCCAAAATAATTAAATGTATAATAAAAAAATAAATGTTTCATAAGATTTTATTACACAGTTTTGTAGGTGTGATGTGTGATTAATATCTATAACTTAGCCAAATTATAGATTTGTAGCACTTATGGGCTCAGAGTAAAACCGCAGACGGACAAAAATGGCAAAACTATAAGGGTTCTTTGTTGTTTAACTACGGAAGAATTTCTGTATTATCTAGTAATTGTAGGTGTGATGTGTGATTAATATCTATAACTTAGCCAAATTATAGATTTGTAGCACTTATGGGCTCAGAGTAAAACCGCAGACGGACAAAAATGGCAAAACTATAAGGGTTCTTTGTTGTTTAACTACGGAAGAATTTCTGGTTTTCTTCACTTACCATATGGATCATTAGTAGCATTAAGCTGTTATTCAGTGACTATTGCAACCATAATATTATAGCGTAATATAGAGCAGCGTGGCTTTACCTCATACAAAATTATTTATACTAACATGACAGTATTAAAAAGTAATTTATAATGACCGAGATGTAGAATGTTATGTTACATACATACTCATACTTACACCTGTTAAGGGTTTAGCTTTTTGAACATGGTAACCGCCAACTTCAATGACATTAGCGGGAAACAATGTCGAGCCTGTGAGAATGAAGTTTTGATACAACAGTAGAAATTTTATTTCCCGTGCCAAATCCTCCAATGGAGGAATATTGTTGAAATATCTTGCAAGAGTATTTTGATCGCTCCTTTGTGTTACAAAATAGTAAAGCGTTCTAAAGTAAAGGTCGAACACAACTCTTTCTAGTCTTTGAACGAGTGTCGGCTTAGTTCCCCCTTCGAGGAAATGAAATGACACATAAGAAGGATTGTAGGGTATACCTAACCTACTATAGTGCCAAGGCATTAATATATGAGATGTGACGCCAACAACTGGAGCATTTAATTTGTACGCAATTCCTAGAGCACAATCACTGTTAAATTGTTCCACAACAACGACATCGAACTTCGGTTTTTGTTTTATCATGTTTTGAACTTCATTATTACTCAGTATTACTTCACAGTTTTCTTTTCCGGCTGTCGTAAGAAATATTCCAATTTGAAGGACGGTTATATAAGATCTATGTAATGGCAAGTCGTCTTCCAATATCTTAATACTTCCAGCTAAACTAATGTCGTGATAATTCTCCGGTGGTTCTTTTTCGGGGAAGTGAGAGATAACCGTTAAATTATGCCCTCTTTTCGCGAGCTCTTGTAAATATACTCTGTGTACAAAGAAATGGCTTTTGCCTTGGTATGGAAAGATACCTAAAATATTTAAAGAACTTGCACTATCTAGAAGTAAGATTGTTAATATCAGAAGTAATGAAATATGCTTCATGGTCGCGTAAAGGCCAGACATAATTTGCACAGTACTGCAGCTGACCAGCACCTAGCACTGACACTGACACTAACACTGCTGATAGTGATGTAGTAGTATAGTAGTAGTAGTAGTAGTCGACTCGAGTAACCAATAGGTATGGCGATCTGAAATCGATTAATCGAAGAATCTTTTTTTGGAGCCAACAAGATCGATTTTTTAAATCGATATGTAGTACTGAATCGATTCGGTGAATCGATATTTCACCCTTGAAAATCGACATTCGATTTTTTTTGGTATAAACCATAAAACTATTTACAATTAATTGAATGTATCCGTATTATAAGAGTGCTGCCGGTTAAAGAATTAATTATTCAAAAACTCGCGAGATGGCTGTATGTTTAGATTCCTTCGCATCTCTTGAATAAAAAAAGTTACGTTTGTAGTCTTTGACTTTTTGTTTTTGTTTGTATCTGTGACTGGACTGAGTTGCATCAAGCCAGCCATAATTTATTTTTGGTATTTGTTTCATTTGTTTATTGTTGATTGATTGAGTGATTCTCGTAAAGCGATATAAATACTAATTTTTATGTAGTGTTTGTTGCGGAATAATAACTAATTGAGAGTAAGTAGGTAAGTAAAGCGCTTTATTTTGTTTTTTACTTTCGTGCTATTATTTTCAGTTTAATCTATTAGTTGTGATCATTAAATCTAACCATGTATGTAATTCATTTACGTTTAGATACGAATAATCAATATTGGGCATTGAAATAACTAATAAGTAAGTCATATGTGGAATTTCTTAAGGAAGTGTGCATACTTACTTCTACTAATATTATGTCCATTTATCTATATAACCTCAAATTGTTTATTTTGTTTACATAGAAAGTAATAGTAAAGCCCTGATTATCTTTTTAAAAATAAACTACCGAAATTACTTTAATCTTATTTTTATCAAGTAAAATCGGTCTGCGATCACCTACAATACATACATATTTGGTAGGTAAGAACGCCAGGCTAGGGATGGGTGGGCAATTCTTTCCGAAAAAGATCGATTTTTAAATCAAATCGAATTATAACCTGATAAACCTATAAAGGTTTTTTTTTTACAAAAAAAAACTATTTTTTCTATTTAATTGTTTTACTATTTAAATGTTTTACTAATCTTTCACATAAAGTCTTCCTTTAAATTGTTTAGGAATTGATGCTAATAGGATTTTGAATATTACTTAAAACTAGTAGGTAACTAATTACTAAAAATTTCGTTGTTTATCAAATTTAATGAGGAAAAAATGTATTTTTTCAGCATGTCGGGTAAAAGTGATATTTGGAATCATTTCATAAAAAAAGACTCAGGAGGCAAATGCAAATATTGTCACCAGGAAGTAAAAACTAAGGGAAACACAACAAACTTGCGTAATCATTTGTTAAGACGTCATCCAACAATTCAGACCGTAAGTCTCAAAAAGAAGAGTGAAAGTGGTGGTGGCAATTGTGGTAATGCACGAAATGGTGATGGACAAGTGAGTGGAGTGGAACCTGTATTTCTTATATCATATCCTTTGTTTTCCAATGTACTGAGTTTGAACAAAATAAGAATTAATGTTCAATAAATCAAAGTAATATATTTCTTATTTTAGGTTTTTGATGACATGGCTTTAGGCATCGTACCAGTTCCAGATTCTCAAAATGTTGATAATTCGGATACTGAAAGCGTGGCTTTTTCTTCTGTCTCTGTATCAGTCTTAAAACAGACAACATTGGCATCTTGCTTAACAAATATAAAATCATTTCTAGGTAAGACACGAAACTGAAATATTTATTTTAATAAATTTTCATGAAAGTGAGATGTATAGATACAGGATCGAAAATTATAACTTTTTTTTAATTTTCAGATAATAGTGTTAAAAGTGGTCAACTAGCCATGCAATAGTCTCCATGATAACAAAGGATGGCTTGCCTCTAAATACTGTGAAAAAAACAGGATTTTAATATTTGATGAAAGTAGTGGCACCGCTATATAAAGTTCCAGCCAGAAAAACAATTACCCACATGATTGATGATAAATATAACGTTCTTTCAGCACAACTGAAATTAAAGATGTAAGAAGTAGAAGCACTATCTTTGACTGCAGATGTTTGGACCGACACACATAATAGTCAAAGCTACTTAGGCTTAACTGGTCATTATATATATGAAAATAAATTAATGAGCATAATTTTTGGTGTAACTGCTCTAACAGAACCACACAATGCTGACTACTTAGCACAAGTAATTATTAATGTGACAGAAAAATGGGACGTCACAAGTGACAAATTGGTAGCGTTTATCACCGACAATGTCGCTAATATCGTTAAAGCAGTCACAAATGTTTATGGCAAAAATAAACACATGCCATGCTTTGCTCATACATTAAACCTAGTAGCATCACAACCATTTGACAATAAGGATGGACTAGACGAAGCCAAGAATTTATTAACAGCTGTTAAAGATATTACTACATATTTTAACCAAATACAAATGCTGCTGACTCTTTAAAGAAAGCTCAGGATCACCAAACAAAGCCTTTGGGGCTTATTCAATCTGTGTGTACCAGATGGAATTCTATTTTTTATCAATTAGAACGATTTGTTGAGTTATCCGAAATAATTGCGCCAATATTACTCAAGTATCCTAAAGCTCCAACAATGCTTACTGCACAGCAGTTAGAATTCATAAAGATCTTATAAATATATTGAGACCATTAGAAGTAATAACTAAGGAAATATCTGGAGAAAACTATGTTACAGCCAGTAAAATTATACCAATCGTAATCTTGTCTGACTGAAACATATAATACAATGGAAAATTCAACCGATATTGGTGCTATAACACGAACTTTAATAGTGGACGGCCTTAAAAAAAGATTTGGAATGGTCGAACAAGTTCATTTGTTAGCTGCTGCGACCATTTTAGATCCTAGATTTAAAAAAAATCATTTTACTGACCATGTCGCCTGTTCTCGAGCAATAAATAGAATAAACACTTCAATTTTAGATATTACGCGGCAACAACTTCCACAAAATAATAGCGAAGAAGTCGACGCCATTGAAGAGACTGGTAATGATATGAAAAAAGGAATTTGGGATTTTCATAAGTTGCTTGTGAAAAAGCAACTCTCTTTATATACTGCACATGCACAGGAAAGTGAAGGCTTAAATGAAGAATTTAAACACTATTTATCGCAGGCAGTTGTGCACCTAAATTATGATCCTATACTCTACTGGCAAAAACAAAAAAACTCTATTTGTCACCGAGTTCACTCAATAGCCGTGAAGTATATGAGTATCGTAGGATCATCTGTTCCTTGTGAGCACCATTTCTCAATTGCCGGAAACATCGCAACAGATGAGCAAAACCGCTTGGATCCCTGTAGACTTGATAGACTGTTGTTTTTAAAAAGTTTAGATATTAAGCATTGGGAACTATAAGCTACATTATCTATTAACTTTGTAAACGATTTTTCTTAACCATTTTCTTAACTCTGTAAAATTTCTAAATGTAGAAAATAAATGTCTTATTTTATACTTTATCTGTTAGTTTGACATGGTAATGAATATATTTTTTATTATCGAATTACCTGATTTTACTGATAAGAGATCGTTAAATTATAATATGTACCTTGTTTTTAATAAAATATTACATTATAAACGAAAACTTGAAAAAAAGATCGATTTTTCGGAAATCGATCTTATAGACCTCGATTTTTTGTGAATCGATTCATTAGGTCACGATTCGAATCGATTTAAAAATCGATCTTTTTCGAAAAGAATCGCCATCCCTAGTAACCAACTCGAGTTGAATTCTCTCTGACTGGAGTTTGAAAACCGAATGAAACCGACGTGGAGCGAAGTTTGCCGATCATTTGAGACTATATTCATTCATAACAAACAAGACAGTGTCATATTTATGTAGATTTGAGGTTAACTTTAAAGTGCCGGTTATTGTTGTAGTTTTTCATGTTTTAATTTCTGTTTTTGAAAAATGCCGGTTAAAATATCGCTTTCTGCAACATTGCCACAACTGGATTTATCTCGGTCAAATCTGGATTCCAATGAATGGATAATAGTAGAAGACGTGGTGGTACTTTTACGCCCTTTCGAAAATGTTACTGTGATTTTATCAGGAGAAAAATATCCAAGTTTGTCTTCTGTTATTCCTCATGTACTTGGACTACGAAAAGCTATAGAAAGCAAGACGCCAGTAACGGAACTGGCCAAGAATTTAAAAGGAGGTCTTTCTGCAGTAATAGAAAAACGACTTGCAGTATATGAGACTAATAGAACAGCATCAAAAGCAACCTTTCTCGACGCACGCTTTAAAAAAAAGGTTTTACGTTACAAAGTAACGCCAATAATGTTTTTTTACTATTAATGCGAAGGTGAGGGAATAAATTGGTAAGATTTAAAAAAAAATCTTTCATCTAGTTAACTCGAGTTACGTAACTCGAGTTCAACCCCAGTTACGTGAATTTTAACTCGGGTTGAATCGAATTTCGTTTTTTCCGAGTTGGCACATCATTACTGACTGACAACTGACGTAATTGTCTGTGGCTATTTTTTTTTGGAGTTTATGGCCTGGTATCTAGACCTTTAGGCCATGTCTGTGGCTAATTAAAAGCCAGTGTTGCCATCACTAAATTTGGAAAGAGCTGAAGGATATGAAAAAAGCTAATTATTTTAGTAAAGAGCAAAATAAAAAAGTATATAAAATTAATATTTTAATCAATAGGCTTACGAGGTCGAGACTGAAAGTTTTTAGAGCTGGCCCCTTGTAAACGACATAATAAAAAACATAAGTTCAAATTTTGAAAATGGAACTCTTGGATATTATGATAATATTATTGTACAAATTATCGTTTAAGTCAACAAGAAAGTTATGATAGACTTCGATAGGCCTTTTACGACGAAGTCCCATCTTGTGTCACTTGTTTACAACTGGTTTAATGAGTTTAAACGTAGTCGCACTAATCTCACCGATGATCTGCGTGAGGGACGGCCTTCTACGGTGACAACTGAAGATAACATCAGTATGATAGAAACTGACAAAAGAGTGACTTATTAGCAGATTCGGACAAGTTTAGGCATCGGTATTAGTCAAATGCACAAAATCCTCCATGAACATTTAGCGGTCAGGAAGCTTTGTGCCCCGTGGATACTTCATAATTTGACAGAGGCCCAAAACTCCGTCGTGTTGATTGGTGTCGTTAAATAGTTCAAAGATTTAACGGAGGTAATTCAAATGATGTGTTCGACATACTTACGGGTGACGAAAGTTGGATTTCAAAATGCTGTCGAAGAGACCCCTAAGGACGAGTGGGCAAAATGCTTTTCTCAGTGTTTCTATCGGATGTATTGACGTAATTAGACACTATTCTAAAAAGATATAATAAAACCAATAACTTTCTAGTTTTTTTTTCAGTTTTTGAATTTCTAAGAACTTTCAGCGTCACCCGCATATATTGACATAGCGTAACATATAAGTGAATGTCTAATAATCTTAAAAGTTGCAAATAAATATGTAAATGAAGAATTTTTAGACAGTATAAAAAGTTGGCAAACTTCAGACTTAAAATATGATTAACTATGGTCCTCAGAACAATTATTTATTAAATTAATTAATGCTATTCTTGAAGAACTACAGACCGATTTCCTTTTTGAGCCGCGTCTGCGTGCTGTTTTCGAGATCATAACGAATCGTCTCGCAGGCAGACTCGACGACTTCTAGTCTCCTGAACAAGCCGGTTTCCGAAAAGGCTTCAGTACAATAGACCACATACATACCCTGCGGCAGATTGTACAGAAGATCGAAGAGTACAATCTGCCACTTTGCCTTGCGAATATGGACTTGGTTGGAGGACGTGGTTGGAGGGTAGGCGTACGTTTCGCGGTGGTTTGTTGTTTATTATTTTTACAGCAAACAGCTGCGCACGTCAGGTGGTGATTGGTCACATGTTTTACCGCATGATGCGGTCGCTCGCTACTTTAGTGGGGAGCGGTTGCGTCAGCGAGTTGTACAAATAGCAGCTGTTTTGGCTCGCCGCTTACTTAGCGGTCAGCCACCGCAGAGTCTACATCACCTGAGGATGCCTTGTGTAGAGGCGAAACACGTGTCGTATTATCGTTGATAGTGTGTCTTTCCTAGTGTAGTGGTGCTGGAATTAGTGGTGACGGGATTAGTGCACGAAATTGAAAAAGGGTGGGAGGTGCTCTTCAAACTAGGTACGACACATCATTTTATTTTATTGAGCGGACGTGTGTGAGGTAATTCTTAACAACTTTAGTGTAATGGATTTCCGCAAAGTAACACCTGATTCTATTAATATAGTTAAAAAAACACGCTTCACTTTTATTTTTGGTATTCTTTTCAGCAAACCCTTTTATATGATACTGATATCATGGGAATGCATTAAAAAATAAGTAGTCTTCGATCTTTTAGGAAGATCCCGAAGAAGATTAGTTCCGATTTTGGCCGCGTGCAGAGTTATCTTGTGCAAACTCTAACACCACTGCATTACAATGCAGTGGTTAAGAGTTCAGTTGCCACGCTGCAAAAGGCGGGTTCAAAGCCCGCAAGGAGCAATTATTAGTATTTCCGACAAAAAATCGTTTCAATTCCCGTAAATTATAGTATTTGTATTATAGTAGTCATTGATTTACTTTTAAACTATGGAATATCTGGAACTCAGAAAGAAAGATTTACCTAGTACAGGGTTTACAGAGATTAAAATTAGATGCGCTATGTAACTATTTCTTTTATATATATATATATTTTTATATATATATATATATATATATATATATATATGAATAAAAATAAACGGCTAATTATGTTGCTAAGCGCAAAACTCGCGAACGGCTGAAACAATTCGGCAATTTTTTTTCAAATATTCGTTATAGTCTGAGGAAGGTTCTTGTGAAGAGGAAAATTGGTAAAATTGCAGGGAAAAACATAAAAATAACATTTTTTGCTCATTCGAACTGTTCCTATCTGTCAATAAATTAGTACAAACTACTTAAATGAACTTTAACACTTTCTTTTTCTACGATATACAAGGTGACTTCTGCAGTTTCTCAATAATTAGTGTAAGATAAGATAAGATCGTGGTTGTTTTTAAATCTTTGCTGCTGAAATTCGGTTCACCTTGCTAAGACTTATACTAAAAAGTCTTCAATATGTGAGTGTAGTTCAGATATTGGTGATCTCAACCATATTTTCTTCTGGTCTCATTAATATGGTTATACTTAATTATTTAACACTTTAGTAAAACTTCAAATACCTTTTCCTACAGAAATATGTCTCTTTTGTTTTTTTTTTTTGATAGAATGTTTTCAATTGCTGAAAATGACAGGGCTGTGTTAGAGAAAAAGTAGGCTATGTGTGTGTGTGTGTGATTTTAGCTTTGATAACTAAACTGAGCTAATCACTGACCTCTATATATACAAGTACGCTGGACTGGCTATACACCGTGACATGATGAAGCGATTTGATTTCCGCCATTTTGGCGCTGACAGCAGAAGTGCACGTCCACGGAACTAATAATAGGGGTGTGAATAGTGTACCAAATTATATCGATAAAAATTCTATACCCTACCTATACCTAAATAAATATAATGGACTCTATGGATAGATGGACTCTACCCGTAACATCCATTCTATTTATGTGTCATATTAATATAATGCCATTATTATTCATCATCATTAAAACCCTTCACAAGTCCACTGCTGAACATAGACCTGCCCCAAGGAATGCCACAAAGCACGGTCCTAAGCTACCTGCATCCATCAACTTCCTGCATGTCTTACCAGGTTTTGATTCCATCTAGTGGTGGAACGTCCTACACTTCACCCGCCGGTACGAAGCTGCCACTCGAGAACCTTTTTACCCATCGGTATTCGGTTCTACGAGCTATATGGTCGGTCAATTGCCACTTTAGCTTACTAATCCATTGGGCGATGTCGGTCACTCTGGTTCTGCTGCAGATATTCTCATTCCTAAGTTTGAACCCCTGAGCATAGCCCTCTTCATAGCTCGTTGAGCGACTTCGAGCTTCCTCATATGGCCAGTATTGAAATACCTCGTCTTAGATCCATAGGTCATCACTGGCAACACGCACTAGTTGTACAATCTAGTTTTGAGGTATTTCACTGGCGAGAAAATGTGTTGTAATCTCCCGAACGCTGCCCAGCCGAGTTGAATCCGTCGATTGACCTATCGGAGGTTTAGTAAAGTGAATAGGAGCGATATCAAGGAGAGGAATAATCATATTACGGCTAATGTTGTCGCTACCGACAGCATTTGAGGAGATGGATAATATGATCTTCTTAACATCACATACAGTAAACTGACTAAAAACGAACGGAAGAAAATTAGGAGTCGGAGTTACAGAAAGAGAACGAAGTGTTTGCAGTTTCTGTTCACTATCAAAAGAGTTAGAAGGATTAGAAAAATGTTGATATAATAGTTCAACATCAACACAAAGAGGTAAGGCATTTAGGGATGTTCTTCAAATTCCAACTGTTTTAAGAAACCTCCACACCCTAGACGAGTCGCCGTTCTCGACTGATGTATGAATATGGCGTCGTTGTGCATCCCTACATAATGTATTGCAGCGATTCCTGATTTTGGCGTATTTCCTTTGGTTTTCCTCTATTTTATTCCTCTTAAGCTTTGACAATGCCACATTTTTCTTCAAGATAAGTCTTTTCAGATCATCAGAGAGCCATGGAGCAGGTAAATGTTTGAGTTTCACGTAGTGCATTGGCGCGTGAATGTCATAAAGCTGAGTAAGTAGGGAACAGAAAAGTTCAACTTTATCATCAATGCAAGGTGCTCTCTCAATTACTGACTAGTCAATGTTATGCGCATCTTCACAAAGTTGGTCAATATCCATTCCTCCAAAATTACGTCGCAGAACTAATTTAGGTTTGATTTTAGGAGGGCGTAGTTTATACGAAAGGAAAATTAAATCGTGATGAGAGAATGCATCAGTAGGACACTGTCCGTGTTTGAAAACTATAGTAATGTTGAAGATGACACTATAATTAAGTCAAGAAGGGAAGGAGTACAGTTAGGAAAGTTATGAGTAGCAGAAAGGGGTAGGATTTGCATATTACACGCATTAATTATGGACTTAAGTTTCATAGCCCGATTGTCGCCTTTAAGCAAACAGGTGTTAAAGTCTCCCATCAAAATAATATGACTATACGTAGGGACTAGTGATTCCAAAAGAGATTCGAAAGAAGTAAAATAGTTTACAGAAAGAGAGGGACTGTAGAATACTCCAAGAAGGAATTTATTCTGAGACAGGGAGACCTCAACCAGCAAATGCTCAGCAGAATCTACAGTGGGTGGTTGACATGACGAACTAACA